AATATCACAACATATCACAAAATTGCACACCAAAGAAAAATTATTTTATTTTTTGGATTTTTTTGGAGTAATTCTCATTTTGGCAAAAATCACGTGCTTACAGCCATGACAACTTCATACAATTATGATCTAAATGACTATTCATACTGCAGAGATGCACAAGGTTCTTCCCATGATAGTCCACAACTTTAAGAGAACTCCTAGGCACCTAGAAAGTTAGTCACATCTTCAGTTCCATTTTCAGAAAAATAATCTGTGAACCAAATATTCATGACACCAATAGGAGTGGAACAGTCCATGCTTGAATCAATCCAACAATCAAATTCAAGATAAGACAAGGTCGAATCCTCTGCCTTCATTTACGGTAAGTTCCGACTCACACGAAAGGCGTAACGATCTGGGTACTGTATTAGAGAGAGGCTCGGTGAAATGAGTACACTCCAGTTTCTGTCTTATTTGAGTCAATCTTTGCTCATAGCTAGCCATCTCCTTGTTTAGACCTCTAGCCTCAGCTTTTAGCTTTTGTAACTTCTGCCAGATACCAGTCATAGGATCATTTCCCAGCTACTGCTTCCAAATTCTTTCTATCATAGGCTTAAACTCCTTGTGCTCCACTGTTACCATGTAAAGTTTGAATGGCTTGGGATATATAGTACTCCTTTTCCATATTTGGACCAAGATAGGTGAGTGATCTGACACTCCGGGTTCTAAAAACTCAACTTCCACATGCCCATAATCTTTAGTCCATTCAAAATTGCCCAAAGCCCAATCAATCTTACTGTAAACTCTATTATTTGCACTTTGCTTATTACACCAAGTAAAGAAACAACCCTTTGTCCTCAATGATTTTCTTTTTACCCAAATGATCGAGGTCCCAGCAGAGGGACAGTCCGGAGGGACGGTGATATTATGGAAATTAGATGTTGTCACAGTGAAGGATTTTGTGAGAAGGAATCAAGAGATCCATGCAAATATAGAGGTACGTCCGATAAATATTACTTGGCTTTTTTCTTCTATATATGCTAGCACTAAGGTATCAAATAGAAATAATCTTTGGAATAACATTGAAAGTATCTATGCAAACTAAAAAGGACCTTGGCTTCTAGGAGGCGATTTTAATAACACCTTCTGCACGGATGATAAGTTTGGGGTAAAAAAATAAATCGTAGACGTAGCTCTCGTTTGTGGACTAGTGTTAATAACTATAATTTATTAGATCTTGGTTTTAAAGGATGTAAATACACTTGGTCTAACTATCATAGGAAATCTAATAATTTAATCATAGAAAGACTTGATAGAATTTTTGTTAATGACAAATGGATGAATATTTTCCCTAAGGCAGTGGTACTCCATCTCCCAAAGACCCACTCGGACCATAACCCTTTGTTACTCCAACTATTCATGAAAATATAGGGCACAATGGTAAACCTTTTAGACTAGAATCTATTTGGTGTAGGCACCCCGACTTTGTCAATATAGTTCGGGCTAGTTGACAAACAAATGATCTCAACAAAGCTCAAAAGATTTTAAAAGTATTCCTTGGAAAAACAATACTTTTGGAGATATTTTTAAGAAGAAAAAAAGTCTTCTGGCTCGTCTACATGGTATTCAAACTTCCCCCAACTATGAAGCTAGTTCTTTCTTAATGAAACTTGAAGTAACCCTCCAACAAGAGTATAATGCTATCCTTAAAATGAAAGAAAATTTCTGGAAACTTCGTTCACGAATATCTTGGTGTAATGAAGGGGATGCTAATACTAAATTCTTTCATATTATGGCTTCTAATAGAAAATGTATTAACTCAATAATGTACTTTAAGGATGACAATGATAACTGGATCACTGATGCTAATTCTATTTTAGATCATACCCTCAATTATTTTGAAAATTCTTACATGACTTCTAAAACTGTAAGTAGGAGAGTTTTCTTTAATAAAGAAGACAACAATATTCCTGTAGTTGATATACATATCCTTGATAGGACTCTAGCTAAGGATGAAATTACTAATGCAATTTTTTCTTTTAAACCCTTTAAGGCACCTGACCCAGATGGAATTCATCCTTTTTTTTACCAAAGGTATTGGTATATAGTTGGTGATTCTGTTATTAAGTTCTGTCACAAGGTTTTTTAATTTCAGTCCCTCCCGGTGGGTACTAATGATACTTATTTATGCCTCATATCCAAAATTCACAATGTTACTGACCTAAAAAATATTAGACCTATTGGTCTCTGTAATACGACTTACAAGATAATTACCAAAATTATTGCTAATAGACTAAAATTCCTCCCTAGTCTAATTATCCCAACACAATCTAGTTTTATAAAAAATAGAAGAGCTAGTGACAATGCTATTGTTATTGTAACGACCCGGTCGGTCATTTCATGAGTTATAGCTCGTTTCCCCCATTTCTGCTTCCTTATGTGTTCCTCAGCTGTATTTTATCGTATCGTGTTGGTTGGTTTGGGTCCGGAGTGGTTTCGGTGTGGAATGAGACACTTAGTCTTGTTTAGAAGTTTAAGTTGGAAAAGTCAACTGGATGTTGACTTATGTATAAACGATCTCGGATGTGAATTCTGATGGTTTGGTTAGCTTCGTTAGGTGATTTTGGACTTGGGAGCACGTCCGGAATGTGATTTTGAGGTCCGTGGTAGAATTAGGTTTGAATTGACGAAATTGGAAATTTGGCGATATTCAGTCGGCAGTGAAAATTTTGATATCAGGGTCGGAATGGAATTCCAAAAGTTGGAGTAGGTTTGTAGTGTCATTTGTGATGTGTGTGCAAAATTTCAGGTCATACTGAGGTGATTTAGTAGGTTTTGTCGTCGTTTGCGGAATTCGTAAGTTTAGAAGATCTTAGGCTTGAATCCGAGGGTAATTTGGTATTTTGATGTTGTTTTGAGTGTTCCAAAGGTTTGACTAAGTTCGTATGTTGTTATGTGACTTGTTGGTATTTTTGGTTGAGGTCTCGAGGGCTTCGGGATGAATTTGGATGGTTAACGGAGGATTTGAAAGTGGGATTTTGCAGCTAAAACTGTTGCTTCTAATGTTTCCGCACCTACGGAGTGGGGATCACAGGTGCGATGATCGCAAATGCGGAAAGCAAGTATTGAAAGGACTAGAATTCTAACCTTGTATCAGGACCTACGGGCCAAGGGATAGTCTCAGGTAGATAGTTTCTACCCTCCCAAAAGGTAACGGATAACAAAGTAGAATCATTGGTAACATGACCAGGTGCAATCTCTACGTCTAAAGACTCCATCGCACTTCTTAACAATTCTTCATCACCTGCCTCAAACTCTGGTTCTTCAAGAAATGACAAGAGAAGATCATCACTGTCAATTCTTGAGTACTCAAAATCATTAAGGTCAGCGAACTGCCCAAGATCTTCACAAGTGCATGAGGCTGACATGTTGAATATGGGATATATAAATGGAAGGTTGAAATTGAAAATTTAGAGAGGAAAAAAGAATGCAAATGACTATGTCTCTGTTCGAGAGAAAATGGCCTAAAATATGCATATCAAAGTCGACAACTTGATCCTACCACACGGGGTGGATCCATTATTGATAATCCAACAGATGACAGATAGCACATGTTCACGGAACTCATTTACTAGTAAAATATTTGAAGGCGTGACATTGAGTTGTGTTCTAGTACTGAATAAGAAGCATAGTTGTCTTAATTTTGCCCAACATGATTTTTCATTGCAGTTTGAGAGTTATCAATCAAGAATCAGAATAAGGCTAACCGTGCAAGTACACAACAGTTCTGCAATAACTATGGATCTATACATATAACAATGATAAACAAAATTTACAGTTGAACTAGCAGTATGATCCGAATTGGATCAGATCTTTTACTCTGATGAAAAAGAAAAAGAAAATTCAGAATTCTATTTTACGTGGTTATTAAGGCTTAGGCTCTCATACTATTTGGCTAGTATACCATTGACAAGTCAGTTTCTAGCCATAGAGAATCATATACTTCTTCCTCAATAGGAATGTACGTAAAGATTTGAGAATAATCACTGCCCACTTGAAATTCAATCATTTCAGCGTCCCTGGGACTAGGGTAAGATGACATCTCCATATCCATCCAGCTAAAATCGAAGTCCCCATTGTAACAATCTAGATTTGGAGCAGCGGGATTATTTATGACGGAAATGGGATCAAGCTCTGCTTCTAGAGATTGGATTGCACTTCTTAATTTCTCATCATCACAATATTTCATCTGGGATTCATCAAGAAATGACATGAGAATGGCGCTATCGATTTCTGATATCTCTATTTGATTTAATAAGTCAGTGTCATCAGTATCAACGTTAATGCAAACGGGCCAGTTTTCTGGTGCCAAATATGCCATGTTCTATGTAGAACAAAGAATATTAAGAGAAAAAGGGTTGGAACCTGGAATTGAATAGAGGAATTTGAAGAAAGTTTAAAACAACTAGGAATTTGAGAATGCCTATGTCAAGAAAGCAAACGTTTAAATAGATCATCAATTTTTTAGGTATGGCAGCACGTGGACAGACAATGGGCACCTAACCTTTTTGCCATTTAGAAGTTCCGTTACACAAAGCATTTCGTATTTACGCAAAATTCGGAGAAGGGCAACACCCCTCCGCACCTCAAGGGGTGTTGATGTACACAATCTACCCTAATGCAAGTATTTGTAGCTGTTTCTACGGCTTGGACCCGTAACGTATAGGTCACACAAAGATAACTTTTTATCGTTTGGAAGTTATTGACGATTTTCTCAATTAGGATTCAAGTAATGTAACTGCATTTTTTAATTTAATAGGATAATGGACAGCTTTGTCTGGTGTCAGTATAATTTTTTGGGGACATGCTTTGTCTTTGATTACTAGCAATGGCACCCCATGCTTTAAAAAGTGTATTGGGTAGCTTGGATTTTATTTGATTACTTTCATATCATGATACGCGGTACATGAATATTAGGTATCTATATCCATCTTGTGATACATTCTTATCAAGCTAGATTCATTGCCCCACTGCTGTCCTATTATTATGGCCTAAAATATAGTAGTATAAGATATGCATTAAATGGAGTTCATGAAAACATGAATATTACTAAAATAGAATAAGAAAGTTTAGCTCCATTATTTGAAGGATGTACATTGAATCAAAATTCTGAACCTGCTGACTATATTAATGCTACACGTACAATATAATGTTTATCCAAACACTTCTGACCCACTATGTTTAGTTTGAAGTACTTCGATGTACGTGGACCATGCGTTTGTCATACTTGCAACACGAGAAAGGAAGGAAGATAAATGGCTTTAAAAATGAAATAAAACAAAAGATAGTCATGGTGAGCCGTCATCGTTCACGTGTGGGTTGGCTCTGACTTGCTGCCTTGATATGATATACCACCAAATGGAAATTTATAGAGTATTGAATCGGATAGCTTCTCTATTTATTTTTCTTAATCGGTATATATATATATATATATATATATATATATATATTTATATATTCGTCCGTTATTTTTAGTTTAATCGGTTGAGTGGACGACTATTTAGATTAATTCTTTTATTTGTATTACGTTTAATTCTCAATGTATATAGAGTGATCAAAATTATTGTAGGAAAACTGGTTAATGTATTAATATGACGACTATGAGTTATGCACTTAGGAAGAGTAAAATCCTTGTTACGAAGTCATATTAGCACTTGTAATTTAGTTATTGAATTTTAGTTGCATTTAGGCATTAAAACTGTTCCTTGAGTTAAATGAAGAAATGAATCAAGTTAGTCATCAGTCAACTTGTTTGAGATCTAGTTAAAAAGATTTTCGCATATCATTTACTCTGTAGTTAAACTCCCTTTTTAATACTACTTTGCGCTGTATATATATGTGCACCCAAAATAAATCACTTCAGTTTAACTGCTTTTGAGCTAAAAAGAATAAATTTATATTGTTCAGCAAGGATAATGTTTTTTAATTAGCTATTTTAATAAGAAAAAAGGCTTAACAGATTCTAGGCGTTTGAGATCTGCGTAGGATTTCATTATATTATATATATGGGGTAATGTTTGAATTTGTATTACAAATTAAGTGCCTGGTGCACTATTATCGAATCATATTATAGGGGTGCTAAAAATAGTTTACTCCAACTTTAATAGTATAGAATAGTTTATTCTAAATTAATTCTGATAAAAGTTGCCGGATTGTCAGTTGTCGAAAAGATTAACACATAACGGCAAAGAGCAAGGGAAGGGCAGGGTGTGATATAGACCGTCTCGAACTCGTGATCGATTACTTTATCGTTGCTCCCGGACTAACTCTAAAAGAGGTTAACACACATAGTACTAATATTCTATATTCTCTCTGTTCCATCTCAGTCTATAGAGAAATAGAGTAGGTACGACTAAGGAAGGCAGTCAGCTAGATATCTCCATTATTTTCCTCCCGTGAATCTCCAAATTTGTATAATTATATCGTCGTAATAGAGACTTGATGGTGCGGTCATAGTGGTTTATTTGGTTTCAAAAAATTTTAGTACCTTTTTGTTTTTTTCCCTTTAAATTGAAAGAAAACACCAAAGAAAAAAAAAACAAAATACTTGTAGTATTGTATTGGAAAAAAACTGAATTTATATTAAAAATGATGTGGCATGACACGTGGATTAGTTGAATGGTCAAAGAACAGCAATTGACTAAGAGGCACGGTGAAAACAGCCACGGGAAGAAGAATTTAAATAAGCACGAGACGACGTATAGATACGAGTCTCGTACCAATTTAAATTATTTACAGCCAACGGATTAGAAGGCATTGAAAGCAAGGATCAGATGACAGAAAGGAGTCCAAATTCATTATTAAATGTCTGATACGTTATAAAGTTGGTATTTAATAGGAATGATTGTATAACGGCTTATTTAATGTCATTTATTGCTCATGATTATATCATTAAAGCTGAGGCTTTATTCCTTTACCTAGAATGATCTATAAAAGGAAGAAGTATCATCATTTGTAAGGACACGGAATACTATTGAGAATACACTGAAATACTTATCTATTTACCCTCTACCATTGTTCTCAAAAGTATTTTATTTTTTGTCTCCTGATTATCAGTAACCCGAATTTTTCTTTTAGCTTTGACCAAGGACTCAGATTTTTGGTGAAACAAATTGGTTCCGTTACCGGGAATCTGATAATCTTTCCTTTTAAGCTATATCTTATCTATTATCGTCACCATGTCAAACAATAACGCCGACAACAACAGTAACAACACATTGGGAAACCATGAGAATCAAATACATCAAAATCAAGATATCGTGGTTCCCTCTCCTTTAAATTCACCACGTCAATCTCGTGAAGGCACTCCTGTTACTGAATCCCGTGCTGATCAACAAGAGCAATCTGAACATTTTGAAGGAGTTACAACTGAAGCTTTGCAAAAGCTAATCGATGCACAAGTCGGCAAAGCTCTTCAGGCACTTGTTAGTCGATTGCCTGCTGCGCCACCTACACCGACTCCTAATAATAATACATTGGAGAACCCCCGTTCTGGTCTTGATAATTCTGGAAACGGAGCAACCCCCAGTGAACCACAAGAAGGGGGACCAGGTAATTTCAATAATTCATATTTGCAAAATTTAGTACTAACCTTGCAGAAACAGCTGAAGGAACAAAATGAGCGAATAGAGCAAATCC